GAGGAATGACTTTTTTCAAAGAGACAGCATTCCTATTTTGGTGTCCCACGCACTGTGTGTGATAACTCGAAAGCTCAAATTGCTGTATATTCGAAATGAATCATGCTTCGGGGCTGGAAACTTGTACAAAAGATTTATTTTCTCGTTATCTTCAACCTAGTGTAAAAAAGAATTCGTAAAATCCTCGCTTTTTTGACTTTGCAATCTGATGACGTCACTGTGAACTTACGAAAAAGTCAGGTTAAGGCTGGTTTTCGCTAGCGACGGAGTCGGAGACGTGATCAGAAGCGTTGAACTTTACGACCTAATGAAAACAAAGTTCTGATTCTTCTCAGTGATTCCACTTACGACTCCGTTTTTACAAGGCCGTCGATAAAACCCGGAACACGGAACATTCCGGAACATGCCGGAACATTCCGGAACATGCCGGAACATCCCGGAACATGAAAAAATAAAAATAATTTTCATGAAAAAAAATATAATAAAATAATAATAATAAAATAATTTTTGTAAAAATTAATAATAACGTAAAATAACAAAAGAAAAACGAAAAATAATCAATTAATCAAGAAAAAGAAACTGATATCCTCTGTGAGTATGGGAAAACAATATTTTGTCGCAACAAATTAAAATTTGTTGGGCGAGTGAGGGTCCATGCAAATGACAGTAACGAGTGAAGGTTTGCTTCTAAATTCAAAATATATTAAAATGGGTCGCGAGGAGGGGGTTTTTTTAAGCTTTCCTCACACAGTTACCTCTTGTAATTGTTTGCCGTGAGTTAATTATTTGGCGGTTATCCATTTACGGTTCTGCAATGGTCTGAAATGTCGGTGCAGTATTTCATGTCAAGCCAAGTCGGTAAGTAGCTCATTTCAAGCCAACATATAGTCTCCTTATTTATAACCGACATTTGCTTACTTGAGCTGCTTTGCTTTCTTTGAACATGAATTACTTGCAGACTAGGCGGCTCTGTGAACTTAAAAAGAGTATAGGGGCTCCTGTCTTTGGATTTTAGTGGACAATACTCACATTCGTAGTAGTTTCTATACTGTTTACAGTCAGCATGATATTTCAGACGTCTCCTCTAGTCGCAGGACGAGTTTGCGGGGAGACGGCTAAAATTCAGGCTAACTGATAACAGTTAGAAACTACCGCTGCGCTACCACTGCCACTGCAACTATTCACGGTGAATCTGAATCTTTAATTTAATTATCCAAGTCCAAAGCGACAAGCCCCTAAGCTCTTGTCCCAAAGCCGTAAATGGATAACCGTTAAACCACATGGCAAACCTTTACAAGAGGTGGCTGTGTGACGAAAGCCTGAAAACCCTCTCCTCGCGACCCATTTTAATATATTTTGAATTAAGAAGCAAGCCTTCACTCATTAGGGTGACCAGGGTGAGTAGGATGACTGGGGACTGTCATTTGAATGGACCCTTACTCGCCCACTGCAAAAAATTCATTGCAACAAAACATTGTTTTCTCATACTCGGAGATGATACCAGTTTCTTTTTCTTTCATTCTTGGTTTGTTTCTTTATTTTTCGTTTTTATGTTATGTTATGTTATTTATTTTGTTATTATAAATTTTTGCAAAAATTTTTTTCTATCTATTGTTCCTTTTATTATTTATTATTATTATTATTATTATTATTATTATTTAGTTAATTAATCATTTTTTCATAAAAAAATATTTTAATTTTTTCATGTTCCGGGATGTTCCGGGATGTTCCGGAATGTTCCGGAATGTTCCGGAATGTTCCGGAATGTTCCGGGATGTTCCATGTTCCGGGTTTTATCGACGGCCTTTTTACAATCAAGTGAAAACGGCCGTCGATAAAATCCGGAACATGGAACATTCCGGAACATGCCGGAACATTATTGGAACATTCCGGAACATCCCGGAACATCCCGGAACATTCAAAAATAAAAATAATTTTCATGAAAAAAAATATAATAAAATAATAATAATAAAATAATTTTTGTAAAAATTAATAATAACGTAAAATAAAAAAAAAAAACGAAAAATAATGAAATAATTAAGAAAAAGAAACTGGTATCCTCTCTGAGTATGAGAAAACAATATTTTGTCGCAACCGATTAAAATTTGTTGGGCGAGTGAGGGTCCATGCAAATGACAGTAATGAGTGAAGGCTTGCTTCTAAATTCAAAATATATTAAAATGGGTCGCGAGGAGGGGTTTTTTTAAGCTTTCGTCACAGAGCTACCTCTTGTAATTGTTTGCCATGAGTTAATCATTTGGCGGTTATCAATTTACGGCTCTGCGATGGACTAAAATGTCGGTGCAGTATTTCATGTCAAGCCCAGTCGGTAAGTAGCTCATTTCAAGCTAACATATATAGTCTCCTTACATATAACCGACATTTGCTTACTTGAGGTGCTTTGCTTCACTTGAGGTTGACATGAATTACTTACAGACTACACTGAGACTAGGCGGCTCTGGGAACTTAAGAAGAGTATAGGGGCTCCTGTCTTTGGATTTTAGTGGACAATACTCACATTCGTAGTAGTTTCTATACTGTTTACAGTCAGCATGATATTTCAGACGTCTCCTCGAGTCGCAAGAGGGGTTTGCGGGGAGACGGCTAAAATTCAGGCTAACTGATAGCAGGTAGAAACTACCGCTGCGCTACCACTGCCACTGCAACTATTCGCGGCGAATGTGAATCTTTAATTTAATTATTCAAGTCCAAAGCGACGAGCCCCTAAGCTCTTCTTACGGTCGCAAAGCCGTAAATGAATAACCGTTAAACCGCATGGCAAACATTTCCATGGACCCTCGCCCCACAAATTATTTGCGACAAAATATTGTTTTCTCATACCCGAAGATGATACGAGTTTCTTTTTCTTTATTTCTTTGTCTTTCGGTTTTTTGTTATTTTACGTTATTATTCATTTTTATAAAAATTGTTTTATTATTATTATTATTTTATTTATTTATTTTCATGAAAATGTTTTTTTTTTTCATGTTCCGGGATGTTCCGGAATGTTCCGGAATGTTCCGGCATGTTCCGGAATGTTCCATGTTCCGGATTTTATCGACGGCCAGTGAAAACTGGGTCGTCGGAGTCGCAAGCAGAAGCGGAAGAACTCAACCAATCACAAAGCGTGGGAATGTGCATTATGATATTGGTTTATCATTCCGCTTCTTCTTCCGACTCCGACAATTTGGTCTTCACTAGATCATACTGAAGCGAAACGTAGGCGACGGAGTCCTAAGGGGAGTCGGAAGAAAATGGAAACGTTCTGATTCTTCTGACTCTGATTCCGTCTCGCTGATTACTCCGCTTACGACTCCGATTTTTTTTCTTACGACTCAGCTTACGACTCCGACTCACAGTGAGGAAGAATAGACCTTGTCACGGTTTTCGACGCCATCTTGACTAGTAGGCAAACGTGTGAGAAATTACAGTGTTTGTATGGGAATCTAATGTCGAATAATTTCGGTAAAACGGGTTTTCTGTAAAAAATATCAGTTGTAAACTAAAGCTACAAAGCGAAGGATTGTACTTAAACATTTTGGGGGCGTACCTGTGCTTAAATTTCTCCAGAGGCTTGCTTTAGATTTTCCATATATTTGTCTGTAATTTTTCCCCGGACTTTCTTACAGACAAATGTATAGAAAATTTTAAAAAGTGGTTCTAGGTCTTCTAGAGCATGTAACGCCCTCAATTTTTTTCAGAAGAATCCTTAGGAGTGAAGCTTTAGTTTACAATTCATTTTTTTTTTTCAGAACAGCCGTTCTACGGAAATTATTCGAACTAGATTCTCATACAAACACTGTAAATTTTTCACGCGTTTGCCTACTCGTCAAGATGGCGTCGAAAACCGTGACAAGGTCTATTGTAAAAAGGCTAAGGCGCTGTGGGAAATATAAAAAAGTAGACAAATGCGCGTTCTTAACAGAGTGGAAATGTTGAGATCCGAAAAATTCTGATTAACTGAATGATCTTCCCGCTTCTTTAGAACGGGAATTAAGAACGGAAAAAGCTCAACCACTGCGCAAAAGCGGTTAGGGGTGAATATGAATGTCTTTTTTTAAAGTTTTTTTTTTTTTAATTCCAAAGATGAAGGTTCCTAGGAACAGAGAAAAGTACTACAATAAATGTTCTTAAATTAGTATTAACAGAAAGCCAGCTTGAAGTAGAAAATAATTGTTATCTTCATCTATTCTCTCAAGTGATGAGCCGATCGTAAGAGACTGGGCAAGGCAGGGCCAGAGTTACCGTACTTTATTTTTTCAAATTTTCTTTCGCTGACATACAAATGAAAACATTTCTAGAATTTCTGTTTAGATTACATACCTGCAGTAACCTTTAAAATACACAACTAATTCAGCTAATTTAATTTACGTATACTTTGTACAATAATATTTATTAGTAACCCTCTGTTACTCCAACACGTGATTACCAATCCATATTCGCGCTAAGCCTAGTCCCGACTTAAAGTCCCTTCGCTTTCTCGGCTCAGTCAAACCTGGCCTCTACCGTGAACTCTGAAATCACGTGAGGAACACGTGAGGGAGGCGCGCCCACCCTTTCCCAAACTTCGCGAGGACAACAGGGCAAGACTGCGTAGGGACTAGGTTGACTCGCCCTCAAAGGCTTATTGCAAAACCAGCTGCGCATGTTGGCCAAGGTTCTTCAGATGCAAAAGTTTCATCATTTTTGAGCAGACTTTGAGCAACCATGAAACGAATTTTAGCCATGATAATGGCTCCTATGTTTGCCCACATTTTCTTCATTCTGTATCCTAAGTTTAATTTGCTCTTATCGAATAAAAGGGTTAAAGAACAAATAGAATGAATTTATTATCGGACCTTAAACATCATTAGGGAGATTTTTCAGACACTTAAGGCAACATGGCGACAGCGACTACGGCGTGCAAAGATGTAATTAACCAGTGCAATGGCAGAATGGCAAACTGAGCACCAGACGTCGGTTTCAGTTCTTTCCACACGCTTTCACGTTCTCATTCGCCGTTGTACCTATTTCTTCTGCTTATAGCCGGCGCTCCCTTGACGAGAAGGCCGCGCAAAGCAAACTCTAGAACTGAGAACCATACCAGCAAAGGTTGATTTCCAATGACGCTTTTTTCGCTACGCACGTTAGCGCATGTAAATTTTAATCACGCAAACTAGAACTACCAGTTACGTAAATCGGTCGGGGGGACGCGGCGAGATAAGGCAACAGAGAAGGAGGGAAAAAGGTTCTGCCCGGAATCGAACTCGGGACCTTCGACACGCCAGCCCATATCGTTACCACTAAGCCACATGGAACACACTGATGAAGCTGTAAAAAAATATATCCTGATTGAAGCCCTTTCCCCTAGCACTTCCGCCAGTGCGACCTGCATGTCTAAAGTTGATCGAGCCCTATTAAACATGAATTCAAAGGTATTTTCGGAAGAATGACCGCTGTTTGGACAGTGAAAACCCAACGTAAACGTATTTCATTCCATTTAAAGAACGGAAGCCCAACCAAGCCGATACGGTATAAACTTGTCTGCGAACTTGTTACCGCGATATGAGATGTTCGCTCATATCTTAGGGCTAATTATCCAAAATCGGTTCAGTTTGCTCATAAAATTGCTTTAGCATTCGAGATGCATTGAGAGATGTTCTTTCTGTTCCGTTGTTTGTTGTTGGCGTAAAGGTCTCCTTCTTCGTTGCTCGCGTTGAATTTCAAGTCGGCGTTCTCCGGCTCCGGCTCCAGAGGAGTTTCGGTGGAAAATCTCCCTCGGCGAGGATTTTGAGCCACTTGTTGTACTTGTGTGTTATTTGCATTGGAAATTGTGTACTAGGCGCTTGTGCCCTTTATTTCCAAGCGCCGGCTACTCAGGCTACTCCTATCAAAATACCGTACTTCCTCGAATAATTGCCGGGGGCGATTATTTCTTTGTTTGCATCAAAAGGGGGCGATTATTCGAGGGAGGCAATTATTTCAAATATTTCTCACTTGAAGTCGTGCCCTAAATATTTTGTTTTATTATCCCATTACAGGGGCAGATCTAGGGGGAGGGTGCAGGGGGTGCGCACCCCTTCCCCCCTCCCCCTTCCTGAGATGAGCTGCGGTTTTCTAATACAAGTGGTATTCTGCAAAAAAAAACTATGTGGTTTATTGGTTTTGAAGTAGAGCAAGAGACGAGTGCACTCACTCCTAAAAAAAATCCTGGATCCGCCCTGTATTAAATCAAAAAATTATCACATCAAATAAACTGAACATGGGCTTTTAAAGGGTTCCAAATTGGGTTCCTTGATTAATGCTCAGAGCTTGAATCGTCACTGGTCAGTTTTGCTGGATCAAATTCAACTTCAACTAGACAGGGAGGGGATAAAAGAAAGAGAAGATGGCGAGAGGGGTGGTGGGGGGGCGATTATTCAAGGGAGGCGATTATTTTGAATATTTCCATCAAAGGGGGGCGATTATTCGAGGGACGGCTATTATTAGAGGAAATACGGTAGGTCACCACCAGTTTAATAGAAGTGATGTACAAATAATAAAATTAGCCAGATGAGAACTTAACAGTCGGTTATTTTTTTCTCAAAATCAGTAAGAGAAAAAAACCGACCGTTTTGCAGTCTATGACATGGGGCGACTTTGAAATAACATTCTTGAAAAGAGCCAGGATCTTTTGAAAATTAATTTACCCACAAGTTCAAAGAATATGTCTTAATTGAATTGTGAGACTGAGCCTCACTGCCAAAATCTTTTTCGACTAAGTTCACAGTCGCCAGTGAAGGAGAATTAGCTTCAGTTATTCCAATCCCGTGATCAGCTCTGTTACAGCTGGAGCCTCCTCCACCAATCATCATCACCGATCCGTCTCCAGCACCCCAGTGACACCAAAAGCCAATCGAACTGGCATTTTGCATTTCCCCGTTGCAAGCAGCTTCTTTAAAGCCTTCGGTTGTTTGGTACTGGCCCCCATAATGGACACAACATCGTCCCAAACATTTATGTTTGGACCAAACCTTGCCGTTTCTGAAGTCACCATAGTTTGTGATTTTCGACCTAAACGTCTCTCCACTTAGGCAGAGACCTATGGTTTTCAGAAGGGCAGTGTGCTGAGGGTCATCACTGCGCGTGATCTTAAACTCAGTTCCGCCGACAAGCCAGAACGCTGAAGAAATCATGTCAGCATTGTTTGATGGATCAGTTGTTTCCCCAGAAGCAACATCCTTGTCATACCACCATAGTGCACTGTCTTTCATCCAATTTAAGGCATCATTATTTGAGAACCGAGCGATCAGAGTCCATCCGTGATAAGAAGTCATATCGCAATAAACCTACAAAAAAAAAAACGATACTTGCACAACGCGAGATAAGTCCTACAAATTACTGTTATTTCGCCTTTTAGTGTCATTATATTTTGTCATCTAAATCATGCGCATCGATGAAGAGGGGAGCTTCGGCACAGTTTTCAAGAAAAAAGGAACCCCGCTAACGTTATGTTAACGTTATGTATAGGCTTAGTATGGGTGTTGTTCTCAATAATTTTTGAAAACAATGCTGATTTAAAGTTGGTGACAAGAGAAACAGCTGTCAGCCTCTGTGATATCTGGTATTATAATTCTTTTTTCAAAGCCCTTAATTCCTCTCTTAATTGCCGATCGTTAAGGCGGAGGCGTACGTTCGAGCCTTCTGTCACGCCATGTAAGGTAATCCAAGAGAGTCTTGCTTTGTAGAGTGCACGCCGGAGTGCACGCCGTGGATTAAATTCCAGGTACTGGATTCCGGACTATTTATCAGTGGTACTTGGATTCCAGATTCTAAACATTAGCGGGAAACCGGATTTCTTTGAGCTGAATTTCAGATTCCTAAGCCCAGGATTCCTGATTTTACAAGCGAAAATTTCTTAGATTCCGGAATCTGGATTACCTTACATGGGACGACCGCTGTCCTTGTTCCGTGTTCATGCTGAATCAATTCAAGAGGTTACATTAAACGTTGTTGTTGTTTTGTACATGTTTTGAGTACAATGGGATGACGGATACCAGATTGACATATGACGCTTTTAAGACCTTACCGGAATAGCGGAGGACGATGAAAATATCGTGTAGCTTCCGTCACTCGCTTTGGGATCGCTTCTTTTTATTGCCTCGCATGAAGGAAGTTCTGGGGACACTAATGTTTATTTAGTTTAATAGAATGTGTAACCATAATCGGACTAAGATTAGCTCAGGACAAATATAAAACCCATAATTTCCGCTATCCTGTTATTATCTTAATGTCATGAACCCGAATTGATTTGATCATCACGTACCTATAACTTTAATTATTTTTTATTTATGTTTCTTGTTTGTTTGTTTGTTTTATTATTATTATTGAAACCATCATCTGACAGACATATTCATTCTCGGAAATCAGTAGCCTGAGAAAGCAGTCGACATTTCGCGACCCCACTGTCCACTGGTTTCCCTGCGAATGAAGTCTGAGGAACAAGCGCAGAAATTTCGGCATACAGTAAAAACCCGCATACAAGATCACCCATTTTCGGGGTTCAGGCTGATTGGGTTCTTATATATCGGGTATTTTAGGTGAAATCAGCCTGAAAGTGTTCTTAAGTGTTCTTAATTTTTTACTTCTAAAAAAAATGTAAGTTGTTGTACATTTGCTATACACAGCAAGTGAAATTACTAGCATTTATACAGAGATCTTAGTGCAATACCACAGTAAAGCTACAGACACTGTTCTATTAAACTGAAAAGGGAAGAATTTTTATTTATAAGAACAATTTTCAATTTTCAGGCTGAATGTGTTCTTATATATATGCTCCTATTTTACCAAATTTCAGCCTGGGTATTCTTAATCCATTTGTTCTTGTATGCGGGTTTTTACTGTATTGACGATACGTCACTTTCCAGATCTGGGTAGCGCGTCCGATTCGTTGAAACAAATTTCCCGCGCGGCGCGACCAATCAAATTCACTGCCAGATCTGGATAGTCTATAGTGATACGTCACGAGTATGGAATTTTTGTGCTTGCTCCTCAGCCGTCGTTCGTGAGGATCATGTTAATGTTAGCATCGCGAAATGTCGCCTGCTTCCCCAGGCCTAGACTGCAAAACAGTCCGTATTTTTGCGTATTCAAGTACGCGCGAACAGTCAAACAAAAGGTCTGGAGCCGGGAAGTGACGCTAAAAATACGCTCCGGGGACGTGTGAGGCGCACTTGAGGCTCTTACGCTACTCTTACGCCACACCAAATCGATTTTGAGAAGGAAAAAAATAATAATAATGATAAAACGACTGTTTTGCAGTCTGCCTCAGGCCAGGAGCCTGGGGGCAGTCACGCGCTGTTTCTTCGAATTGTTGCCCGTGGGTATCTGAAAATAAGGTATGTTCCTGATCCAACCTTCGAACTTTGTGCTTGTCTTATAACAACTCTTTGTGTATATATAGCTCCTCGAAAAATTTCTTTTGACTCGAAACCAGATGACTCGAAACAAACACTTTGGATCCTAAGATTCGAGAGAATGAATCGTAGATGGCCAATCCGGACAATGATAGGTGGTTATTTGCACCTATATCAAGTCAAATATATTGATGGGAAACTGCCTGCCTGAAACTGCCTGCCTTAACAAATAGAAGATTACAAAGAAAGAAATCAGTAATGAAAGGAAGAAAAAAAAAATGTGCAAAAACGAAAGAGTGTGCCAAACACCTACCATACGTTGACATGTTGCAGTGGGTGAGTTCAGGTGGTCTAGATTCAACGGTTTGAAGCCAGTATTCGTCGCTAACCGCTTTTTCTTCACTCGCCTTAATCTCTTCACACGTTTGAGCTGGTAGCTCAGGGATAGAACCTAGAGGAACTGCCAAAAACGAACACAATATTCATAAATAAGTAAATACTCAGTAATTTCAGTTGATGTGCGGAACTAGAACTGATAAGTGAAAATTCAAGTAAATGGATTGTTTTCACTCACATGGCCAGCATCTATGCAGATTTATTGGAACAAAAGAAAGCGTTTGTATGAGAAAAAAGTTCAACTCCCACAGGATTTGTTTGGGACACCAACATGGCCGCCGTTTCATTGTTTTGGGACACCAATATGGCCGCCGTGACGTCATGTAAAAACACTCTATAGATAACTTCAGGTGATGTGCAGAACTAAAATGACAATGATAATGACGACGAAGAAGTCGATGACGATGATGATAACAATAACTTTTAGCTTCAAACAACTAACAGTGTAGGGTTAGGGTATTGGGCATTGGATCGATGAATATAAACTAGTCAATGCATGCATGTGTCGGCCCTTCTTTTAAATTGGAGGACTTATGGACACATACCCACATAAACCTCATCTTAGTAACCCCACTCCCCCCCCGTCCCGTTAGAATCTTTCTGGCATAGCAAGCCTAAAACAGATGTCAAAGTATCTAAATTTGAAAGGCTGAATGCTGTACATAATCACACAAGAACCTAATTTTAAGTCACCCCCAGGATGAAAATTCGCGACACAAAAACTTAAAAATGATAAAAACTAAGTATAAGAGCAGGTTTACTTGTGCAGTGCGGAGGAAGGTGAAAATTACCGGCCAGGATGAGCGCACAAGTGATTTACCCCGAACTCAAACAGGTGAGCTTACTTGCAGGCAAGCCCCGACTAATTACCTCGATTCATGCCTCGTCTGTAATAATATCTGTCTGGGTCAGGGACGAAATCCACGGGCCTGGCTTCTTTAGTTCTGTCACTGAATTCACACATGTTGGTAGAGATCACCCAGTTGAAACTTTGGCATCTGTTGTCTTGACGACAAACTTTTAGACATTCATGCCCATGGTTTAGGGTCATACTTTTATAAATGTGTCCTCTTAACATCCAGCCAAAGATGGATTCTTGTTTCCCACCACTGAGGCACTGCTGAGTTATGGCTTTGTTAAATATCTCCAATATAAGGAGGATGGAGAGTGCTCTTGAAGCACACATCTTTAAAAGTTGCTTTTGGTCATGGGAGTCTAAGGAAAAGAATTGAAGGAATGGTTGCAAGTTGATTTTTAGACGCTGAAGAAGCAGAGTTATGCTGCTTTACGGTAGTGCTAAAATTACTTTCGGTAGATGACTCACCTGCTGTAAGACTGTGTATAACAAACAGAGTCTTTTATAACTGACGGAACAGATGAAGTCAATTCGAAACCGACAACTGAATAAAGAGTCAATAAACCACGACCATTTGACATTAAATAGAGTTGGGAAATAAAAAATAATGATAATAATAACATGAAGGTTTCAATTTTACCCTGATTTCAAATAGTTATCAATTTTCTCTCCAGCTATCTCTTCCACGAAGGCTTATAAAAGAGATTTGATTGACAAAATTTATAGTACCCATACGGTTATGGCAACTGTTGAAAACTTCCTAAGCAAAATCATTTAGTTGGACCCATTTAGTACGACGTCAAAGTGCATACATTAGGTGGCTCTTTAAAAAGAAAAGGAGTTTTCACAAAGAACGGATTCACATCAGCTGTGAAGTGAATCACAAATCAACAACAAAAACGAAATTTAAAAAAATGCTAATTATTTTGAAAACAATCACTTTTTAATTAACTTGCCTTTAATTCATGGCCAGGACCAATTTCGTATTTCGTACAACGAAGTTAAAAATGAAAATTTAATGTTTTTGTCCACAGGAGAAAGTGCATTTCATTCATGTTTTTTGCTCATCTTCACATCGTTTTTAGATCTACGGCTTTTCCTCTGTGTCAACAATATAATTGTGCCTTGGAAATAAATGTTTAATAAAGGGAGACCTTCCTTTATAAATGTTTGAAAGAGTTAGTTCCTTAAAACACTGTGGGTTTCTTAATTTAAATTGTTGAATTGCAGCGGAGCCGGTGACGTAGATCGTGTGGGTTGAATAACCGAGTTAGGTGGCTGAGAAAGCCTGCTGATCAAAGCCTTGTTTGACCTGTTTACATAACTACGTACAAAAAAGTAATAGTTTTAAAGTTTTAAATATTATTGACAAAGCAGGATCAGTCATGGCCTCTTGCAATTGAATAAAGGAGCCATTGATATCACTTTAAGTTTTAATTAGTGGAAAGTAAATTTCGTCCTATTGTTTAAGAGGGCATGCATATACCTGGGAAAAAAATATACAGCTGTATATGAAAACAAAAGGTTTAAAGGTAATGTCAGCTACTCAGACAAAAGTATTGCAGATTGTATTAAACACATTGCCCCTTCATTACCACTAAGACAAACTTTTATGCTGGGTGATGGGAGTGAAAATGAAGATATGTTATTGTACAAAGGCATGATTTTCTTCATGGCCTCAGAGGGGCACCATCGCTTCCAACTCAGTTTTGCTAACATCAATTGGCGGTTTCAAAATTGGTTGGACACACTCTCCGTGACAAATGAAATTAAACGAACACATGCACTAAAAATAAAAACAAAATGGGTCTCCTACAAAGCGCCACTTGGAATTTTGCGCAGGTGTGACTAATGACTAATTCATAAAAAAGGGAAAATGTGAAAAGAGGAGTAAAGATAAATAACATACGGGCAGTTCGCAAATTTAGTTAACCCTGTCGGCCAAACTTTACAGAATGTGGTTTTTCAAGCTACAGTGGCGTAGTTCTGGACCAATTAGAGCGCTCATATCTCTTCGCAGCTGACAAATAAATATGCTAATTTATTTTAGCAATTATCTGATGAGGCTGAGTACCGATATGAACAATCATTATACAGATCAGAGGAGGGTGTTTTTCGCACCCTTGGAGATTTGTATATTTTTCTTTTCTTTTTTTTTTTTTTTTTTTTCATTTCGTACAAAAGCTAAATAATAAGTTTTATTGCTCATTCCAAAGATTTAGAAACTCTATGTCAAGTTTCCGATTTCCTCAGTTCAAAACATTCACACGTTCGGAAAGAGAGCCTACGTTCGATATACGTTCGGAATCCCATCGCGAAATTGAGTAAATTTCAATTTTTAGTGGACAAAAAACTTGTACCAGAATAATTTAAACAACATCGCACTCTTTTTTTCATTTTTCAACAGCTATAGGTATAAAAAATTTATGTGTAAGGTGTCATAAAAGTTTTTGACATTTATTTTCTCAAGCTTTCATGAGAAATTTGTTTTGGTATTATTACAAATAACTAACTAGTATATCCATTACAGCCCTTGAAAAATGTAAAAAAAAAAAAAAAAAAGAATGCGATATTGTTTCAATTATTCTGTACAAGAATTTTGTCCACTGAGAATTAAAATTACTCAGTTTCCTGATGGATTCCGTCTTAAAATCCTAACATGACCCCGAGGCTTTCTGGTCATTTTTCTAAATATTTGGTTTGGTTTTCCTTGTGCTCAAGCTTCTTTTGGGAATTGTGAGACAGTGCAGTCGAGAAAAATTTGCAGCCTCGGAGTTATGTTAGAATTTATAATAAATAATGACTGGACTGTTGTTTATTTATTGTTTGTAAGATTTCCGTACAGCCTCTTTTATTATAAATGCATATAAGTTTCGACTTACTTAATTTAATAGTTTGAAATTCCTGCGTGCACAGTAAATGTGGGGCGCGCTGTACGGAATCTCTACCCTACTGTGTTTTTGAAAGTTCGACCATGTCGTATTCGCGTAACGTATCAAATCTTCCCGTATTCTATACCACTGTAGCCAGTAAGATTGCTGAAAGCCTTTCTGATGCATATTAGAATTACTGACTGACTTTTCTTTCTTCGGTAATTATGGCTTTTGGTTAGAAACTAAACGTTACAAATAACATACTGGGCTTATAGGCCATTTGCACTATGGCTTCATTTTACTACTACGACCAGAATCCTTCAGGGTATTTCTTTCTTGTGCAAATTAAGGCTTTTGTTAATTAAACCTCACTAGGGCTACCAAATTTGAATATGAAAGGAAAAACGAAATGAATTCTGTTCTGACATGTAGCCCCATTTACACTACACAAAAAAATGGGTCCGGACCTATTAAAAAGTGGTCCGGACCAATTTTTTTTTAACTGTTTACACGGATAACAATCAGGTTAGGCTTATGACTGAAAACAGCCCTAATGGACACTGTTTACACTGCTGACTTTCGGTTTCCGGACCAGATTTTTATTTGAGCCTTCGGTATGTTTCCTTATCGCTCAGTGGTAAATACACAAAAGGGTGTGCGAAGGAAAGAAACATGGCTGCCATTATGGCTGCCACTCTTTTACCATTTCCTTTTAGGAGGAGAGTGACTCCCTTTTCAGGGGAAAACTCCGCAGAAACATTGAACCGTTTTAGAAGAAAACGGAGAAGGAAAATTTTTAAGTGGTCAATTCTTTTAATGGCCATCATAATGAGCCAATGCACTATCGAGAGAACCATATGGCAGCTTCTTAGAACAGGTGCTTGGTTTCAGCTTGCATTGAACGAGTTTTCAGACCAAGAATGGTACGAAAACTTTCGCTTGTCCAGGGCGACATTTCGATTTCTTGTTGAAGAACTTAAACCAGAACTGACATTGCAAGATACAAAGATGAGGAAGGCTGTTGAAGTAGAAAAGAAAGTGGCTCTGTTCTTGTACTTCATTGCTTCAACCGCAAGTTATAGAACGCTTTCTAACCTGTTTGGTTTATCCAGGGGTTTTGTTTGCATTTGCATGCGCAAGGTAGCCGCTGCAGTGTTGAGAAAACTTAAGCCAAAGTATATGTCAATTGCTAAAGGAGATGAACTTACTCGCGTGATAGCTAATTATAAGGAGAAATGGGGGTTTCTTATGTGTGCTGGAGCAATCGATGGCACACATATACCAATTTCAACACCACAGCAAAATCATGCAAGTTACATCAACAGAAAATCTTACCACAGCATTGTGATGCAAGCTCTTGTTGACAGTAGTTACCTATTCCGTGATATTGTTGTAGGGTGGCCAGGAAGTGTACATGATGCAAGGGTCTTTTCGAACTCACAGCTGTCATTGCACTTTTAAAAATTAACTAAACAACAGCTAACTGTTGTTGTAATTATTTAACTGGAGATCAGTGACATATCTTCATGTTACTATGTTAGAAGAGACCCAACTATTGGTAAATGTTACCAATGATGGTCACCATAAAAGAAATGTTGTGTTAACACTAAACAACGGCTGAACTGTTGTTGTTGTTGTTTTGTTTTTGCCTGCAGGAGATTAGTGACATTTCTTTACGTTGCTATGTTGGAAGAGACTTAAACAAAATGTTACCAACAATGGTCACCACAAAAAAGCATTGCGTTATATTTATTTCATGAGGTAATGAAATATTACAGAAATAGAACCTGTCTAGTTTAGTTTTGCAAGATACTCATAATGCTTGTTTGTTTTAATTTACAACTATCAATCCACCCATTGAATTTCAAAACAATAAACAGCTCTTTGGTTGTTCCCAGGTAACTCAACGAATAAATGCTTAATTTAAAAAAATATATATAATAAAAACGACAACTATTCTTGTTTTTGTTGCTTGTGAACAGACTCTTTAGTGGTGAGTGGGATGCAGGGCAATCAGCACTGACAAAGCTGTTCACCAATGCTTCTAGTGACTGGCCATCTCCCACTAACGAGCTAATTCACAGGTTGACGTGCTTCAGTGATAACTAAATTAAACAATGGTAACTTTACTGCCCCCTCTTGGGATGTTATCTTTCTTCATCTGGAGTTTGGACTCAAGTTTACAAAGGGTAATAAGTTTGTCTATCAAAAGAAAATTCAGATTCCGGCTGCCCTGGAGTTGTCCATTGAGAGTTACAGCCTCTCATTTGCATCATCATTTGAAGGACATGTAATTCATGCTCTCTTTCTTCTCTTCTCATTTCAAGTCGAAATTTTAACTCCCTCTCATGCCTCTTCTCTTCCATTTCTTCAAATCTGTGAAGGGTGCCAGAAAACAGTAAAAAAAAAAACTTGATATAGCAAGAGTCTAAAAAATGACAACAATGAACATCATTTTCATTTTCTTCATCATCATCACCATCATCATGATCATAATTACTGCCATTATTATTGTTTTAACAGTCACAACATTTTCTTTTCCATCTTCCGAAAATACCAGGGTTTTCTTATCCCCTTGTATTCTGACTACACATCCTTAATTAGCACACAGTCTCCAAATTAATTCTTGCTAAAACATTTTAAAAACCTTGAAACTAATTAAGAAGCTGTATTTACCTCTTCATCTGAGCTTCTGAGGATTCACGGAGACTCAAACACACTGTTTCAATTGACTTCTCCACTTTTGTTTTCTTGGAACTTTCTGGTGTGGCACCTATGATGCACTTAGATCTCTTCCTTTCAGAACTACTAGAATCAGTGTCTGAGACTACATCACTTTCTTTCTCAGAATGCAGTTCTGAGCTATTTTCTGAGGTTTCTGTTCCTGCCAAAAAGTCAATTATAACAGTAAATGAGTATGTTGCAGTTAATTTTTGTTTTCAGTTAAATTTTTATTTTTCCATGTTTAAAACTCGTTATCATACATCACATACCTAAAAACAAAGGAAAAATAAACTTTAACTGCAGAAACAAAAAATTAACTGCCACATGTACATGCACCGCACAGTTTGAAAAACTCCAGTTAACTCTCATTCCCATCCTCATTATTTTTTTTTAAACTGGCAGGTTATCTAGTAAACATACACGGAATATATTCATTTGGTGTATGATTTGAAAAATAACAGAGCTTATTTAAATAAAATGCACAAAAAATATTTTGATTGTTAATCTAAAAACACAACAGCAACAAGAACAAACACTCTACCATTTTCTAGAGAGCTTCCATTGTAGACTTCACTATTGTGATCACTGGAGCTACTATCCCACAGATGCGGTGGGTCAATAGTTGGGTTATCTTTAAAAATTGTGTCCATTTTTTCCATGAACTTCCAGGGCTTCTTGGGTCTCGAATTTCCGCTCTTCTTGGCACTATCCTTCACATCTTTGTATTTTGCACGTAGTTTTTTCAATTTGTCCGTAATTGCCGCGACAGTTTTCATCATTCCTTTTTGAAACAACCAGAAAAACGAAATAGCATTAGAGCGAAATGAAACAGAGTGACCTGATAAAAACTGTCAGAAGGAAGGATTTTAGCATAAAAACTTACCGTGCTGTTCTAACTTCTTCTGAACTTCCAGGTACACTGCATTTTTGTCTTTCGGGCATTTTGCTTTCTCTAGCCCTATTTGAATGGTCTCTTCGGCAAAAACGTCTAATAGTAGGCCAACTTCTTCATCAGTCCACACGATCGTTTTCGTTTTCTGCGTTTTTGGCCATCGACGCCATCGTGTAGAAAATAGAGGAATAGTGCACATGAGCGAAACCACCGTAAAGCACGGCAGGCTCACATGAAAAAGAGGGTACGGATAGTACGGAACGAAGATGCGTTCACATAGCGCTTTCGATCAGGAAAAGGGGTCCGGACTCGTTTTTTTTCGGTTTTAGGGCCATAGCCGCCTATGGCCCCAAAACCAGAAAAAAGCGAGTCCGGACCCATTTCATAAAAACATGGTACGGAAGGTTTACACGGCAAAAATATCTGGTCCGTACCAACTTTTTTATGGGTCCGGACCCATTTTTTTGTGTAGTGTAAATGGGGCTTTAGTAGTAAAACGATGTCATCGTGCAAATGGCCCATTAACCCACCGTCTTGATAACTAAGACCCTGTTTACATGGAGTGGGGGACCCCGGTTTAGTGGGGTAGGGTAGGTTTCTTTTGTTTTGTGTCCCCCAGAGCGTGAAAACAAAAGAAACCAACCCCAATAGACCGGGGTCCCCCACTCCATGTAAACAGGCCCTAACTCGGATAACTAGCACCGGTTAAACAACAAAAATGTGCAAAAATATATGCCCCTTAAGCCTCATGCAAAGGGACGCAACATTGTTAGCCAGCAACTCCCAACATTGTTGGATGTTACATGTTACATCCGTTTGGACATCCTGTTGCATGTTTTTGCGCAAAGTTTGAAACCGGTTAAACTTTTAGCCCCGTACAAACGGACGCAACATTGTTGGGAGTTCTTGTGTCCGTTTGCACGAAGTTTAAAATTAACTAATAAATTTATTCCAGGAGGGGGCAGAGAAGGGAATATGAATTAATAAAGGCATCAATTTATTAATAAGTGCAAGTAAATAAATACGTTAATAAACATAAATATACTGAATATTACTTACTTCTTACTGATTATAAATATTGTAATAGTAATCCGAAAAGTAAATTACAGGAAAAAAGACTGACTTGACTCTGATTCGTCTCCAGACGTCTTCGTGCGTGGAAACAACCCCTCGCTCCAGTCGGGAGAGATAATGAGAGACGACTGAAGACGAGTCAGGACAAGACCAGCCCAGTTTATAAACTTTGATACAAGAAACGATGTCAGTAACCATTTAATTACCAAGTATAAAATAACGTACAAGAATATTTTTGTGCTTAGTTGTCTTTTGAAGAAGAAGGTGCGAAAGGGGAGGTTCTAGAGAAAAAAAAACCTTCTTGCGCATAGTATTTCTACTCCACAATATATTAAGGCTTGGAGGAAACTTTTCTGTCCAAACTAAAGCACCTTTCCATTACCTCGGCCCTAAATTGCTGAAAATGTAACGCGAAAGTGTGTACTAACTACTGATGTACTTTTAAAAAAACCGCTAGAAAGGACTGTTGTATTGCACTCTAAAGAGTACCAAGTTACTTTGTTTTCAAAATTTGTACGTGAGTGTAAAAACTGCGTGGATTCAATGACAGAGAGTAGTTGGTCAATTTTGTGATTGTAGCTGTGTCAATTTCACAATTCTGCTAAAGGCATTGCTTATCTTACTTACAAAGGCGCTAAAGGTTTGTTAGCACATACATAAGTGTTCTGACTATCAGTGATTCCGTACCAACGATTCCGGCTACTTTATACTAGCTTAAGTTTAGTGTAAATATTCTAGTCCTAGGAAGCATGCATACTAGCACCAAATTTTAAAATTAAAACAGTAAACGAAACCGTCTTTAACTCAACATTTCATGATCAGCGTGGGAGGGGAGAGGGGGTGCGATGGGTGCGCTCTAGCCTCTCCCACAGGCTCCAGAGGTCCACTTTTTATTGATCAAAGATTAAAAGAAAGTGATTTTAGAGTATTGCTCTATTCTAATTCGCTGATTTTGTACCAAAAATTGAAAATGCTGTGAAAGAGCTCATAATCTTAACTCACCGCTTCAACAAAACGTATTTCAGCCTTCGTAAAGCATAAAAAAGGGGACTGGATATACCTACAACGCATTTACCTCTTGCATGCTAACACGTCACTTGCTCTTTAGTTTTGTCCTCAAGGTGACTCTACCCAGTTTTTTCTGGCGGGTACCATCCTACTTTGAAGCTCTCTGGTATCCCCACCTTTACTTTTATCGTAAGTCTAACACATAGAATGGATAACATATTTAAGCAATAGAAAACGTTTTCCGTGTTTACAAAGCCTGATATAAACACGAGAGGAGTTGGGAGAATTCGAGACAGTTATGCAAACCCGAGACGAGGTCGAGGGTTTGCATAACCGTCGAGAATTCACCCAACGCCTCGAGTGTTTATATCAGGCTATGCAAACACAGGAAAAAAGTTTTCTATTGCTTTTATACAATAACTTTCCCGAGAAAAAAACGCAAAACTCTTTGTATGGCACTGATTAAAAGAGAAATTCTTACCAGTCGCAAAATTTTGTCCACGAAGTCTTGAACGCGTAATCAGTTCTTGTTTTGCAAAAAGATGCTTTGCAAAATACTGATTTTTCTCGCTTAAAATGTCAACTTAAGCGAAGAAAAATTGACTCACCTTCTTTGTAACGATTTTCCATGTTTCAGCCGACGAAGGAATGGGTAAATAAAGCAAACTTGTCGAGTTTTGAACTAGAAAACTTTTTCAAATTCGTGCTTGCGTGATTAGCGCGCGAAAAGCCAAACAACTTGACGCCACAACCATGTTTACATACTCTCATGCAAACACCCTCTCGGCCAGTCAGAGCGCGCGTACTATCTTAGTTATTTCATAACGATCAATCTACAATGTAACATAAAATTTTTGGCGATCGGAGTAAATGTCACGTGGTTATAATGCCACGCCCCTTTGAGGTCTGAGTCGAAAATCTGCTGTTGCCGGCATTTTTTCGTGAAAATCTCTCGGCTACACATAGTGCGTATTAGTGCCTTGCGCTGAACAGAGTTTCACCAAAATCGCAAAGACCCAATTCGAGAAATTCAGCGGTTTCCAAATTTAGATCATAATTTATGCGAAAATGATAAGCAAAATTTACACGATTATACCTAATAAACTATGACATTCATCCCTTTATTTTGGGCATCGTTATAACAGATGGGTCCTTGCAAGTCAGCAAAAAGCTTTAGGGCCTTGTAAATGCGCGCGATTTCGAGCAAAGGAAACATATAGAAATTATAGTTTTAGCTATTTGTTGACGTTTGTCAGCGTTTAAGGGTCCTTCTCACGAAAAAAGCATTTTCTTAAAAATTCGTAGTTTTTTTTCCTTCAAATTTTTTCAGGGCCACAATTGATTAACTAACTATCCGGATTCTGAATTTCATGGTCATTGAACAACTGTGACATTATCTTCTATAAGTCCAAACTTGAGTAAACATTGAAGGTTTTTAGCGTTTTGGCTGAGTTTGTGCTTTGGGAGTTGTCTATTGTTTCTAGTCTGTCATGATGCAGCATTCTTGTTCAGCACGCGTGCAATGGCCACGCTTGGCTGACTTCCGAATGTTCACCGAGATATGATAATTTAGTATGAAAAAATAGAAGGGATTCCCGTCACGAGTTGGTTTAATTATTGGCTTCCTTAAACCTATCAAAAAATGATATTTTTTAATAGTAAGTAGATTTAGTGTGTAGCACTTCTCGATTTTTTTGCAAAGGCACAAGAAGCACGAGAATTGATTAAAAATTGTGAGTTAAACCCCTATGTATCACGCGATGGCCTGTCTCACGGTACCAAAATTATCATATCTCGGTAATCATACTCGTGAGGTAATCATACTCGTGTTTAATCACGAGTATGATTACAGACCGAATTGGACGACAGGAAGTTCTGTTACCAATTAATCATAACTTTAACAAAATTTGTGACATAATAGGCTATTTTTTAAATCAAAACACAAGAAATTCGAAATTTTGTTTTGCTAGCAGTGAAAAAAAAAAAGGCCATTTAAGCGCGCGCGTGATGGCGCGTACTGTCCAATAGACCTTTTCGGCTAACTCAATGTTGTACCCAATTCAAACCCTTTGGGAATAAAACGTTTTGTTTCAGGAATTTCCATATCATTTAAATATGAAGGCCACATGATAATGCAAATACAATACACAAAGAATCTTATCCCCGGGAGATTTGAATTGGGTACAACATTGAGTTAGCCGAATAGGTCTATTACTTAGGCATGACGCGTACTGTCCTGTTAAACTGTCCAATTAAGGCTGAAATCAGGGCAGTTGATAGCCAATCAGATTTGACAGTTTTGTTATAGTTATGATTAAGGAAATTTGGAAACCGCTGAATTTCTCGCATTGGGTCTTTACAATTTTGTGAAACTCTGTTCAGCGCAAGGCACTAATACGCACTCCCCTCCCCTCCCCTTCCCCCCCTCCCTCATCCGAGAGACTTGCTTCTTTGGCTTCGTTCGTACAATAAAGGTTTAAAACAGAAGAAAAAAATTAGTTCGTTCAGGCTTTGTCAAGTGAAGACCGTTTTGTTAAGGTATATCGATCAATGGAAACTGAAAGGAACTAAGTGATGCAAACTACACTAGCGTCCTCGTGATGACCACAGTTCTCAATACCCCATCCTGCATGTGGGCAGTCAAACAGCGAAGCTTCGTTTCCCTTGCAGCCGACATCATCCAACCAGATAGGATCAGATCCCTGACCGTATTTTGCGCTCTGTGGCGCAGAGGAGGCGTTGCGAAAACCAAGTTGGCGACAAACCACTTGAGCATCATTGATATCCCAGCCATCATCACAAACTGTGCCCCAGATCCCTTTATAAAAGACCTCAACGCGACCATAATTTTGTCCTCCCCCTGCAAGACGGATCGGGAAACACTGTACACTGGAGTCTTCATGATGACCACAATTCTCCTTTCCCCACCCACTGTGGCTGCAATGGTAGATATGCGTTTCATTTCCTAAGCACGCCAAATCATCCATCCAAATCGGTCCAGAACCCTGCCCATGTAGGGCCTTTCCAAAGAACTGAGACGCTTTTGGGAAACCAAGTTGCCTGCAAACCACGTTAGCGTCCTTTAAATCCCAAGAATCATCGCATATTGAGCCCCACTGGTTGCTATAGAAGACTTCTACTCTGCCAGTTGATAGTGTGTCGTTGTTTATACGAAGGGAACCAGTAGTGATAGCTGAATTTTCCGGCACAGGAGATAAAACGATTGTTAAAAAATTAGCAACAGAGAAAGATACAAAGAGTAAAAAATCAAAGCGGAGCGTTGAGCGTGCGGACCCCTGTTGATGATAAAAATCTGATAACCTACCGATACGAGCAAAGTCGCTTTTCACGTGACTACACGAGCGGCCGCTAATCAGGTCATAAAAATCAATGTGAAAAGTCACAAAGCAAGCGACAATACTGAATTGAGAAAATTGTGATGCCGTCATTCTATCATAGAGTTATAAACGCCATCCAGAACAAAAGTCAGTTGACAGCTCTCAGATTCGGAAGAATCATTCTTTCTAAGAGCTGTAATCATTTTGGTCGATCCCAGTCCTGGCATTGACCAAAAAGATCGCAACTCTGAGACGAGAATGGTTCAGAATCTGCATAAACAGACCTCCATACTTTTCATTGAGTTCGGTTAGTTATCTGCTGGCAGGATCAGTTGATACTTCTACGTTGGTTCGCGTGCTTTAGTTCTTTTTCTTGCTTCTTTTAGTTCTTTTTCGTCAAAGGCGTTACTTCGAAGTTAATTGTTTCACGGGTTAAGACTCAATAGGGGCTCCACTTTCCTACTCTCTCACGCAGCCGTTTTTTTAATCCAAAAAACGGCTGCGAGGAAGACTAACGCTTTCCAGATCGGATAAAGTTTATACCTGTAAATCATATTTGTAATGTATTAATTTGATCTTAGTGGCGTTCTGACAGGAAACTGGATGGCCTGCAAGTAAGCTCCATGTTTATAAAGACTCGCGAGCGAGGCGAGCCGAGAGAGAACGCCCAAGCGAGTGGCAAAACCGCGAGGAGCTTTCCCCGCTCTAGCGTCTCCTTTCGCCTACTGCACGCGTGACTTCACGCGACTTCTTTAATAGAGAGCATGCTTGCAGGCTAGAAACCAACCAACTTTTATCTTGCGGGAAGTTTTCTTATGAAAAAACTACTCCCCCCAAATTATTTTATTTTACATGTAGCACGATATCTCGATGGAAGCTTAGCAAGCCATCCAGACGTTAAAGAGGTTTGAAGGAAATCACGCTTTATCGAAGGAAAAAAACGGCCTTATTTTTTGCTGTCTTTTAACTCTTTGTTAAATCTATAAGAATATCAAATGACAAAAATTAAACAAAACAAGTTATCGTGTGAAAGCACATCCAAATCTCACAACGCATTTGACCAAGCCAAGTGGCAACACCACTGGGAGCTTTAATTTCCATTCAACCAAAACGTTCGGTTTGAATTTTCGACAACTTTCAGTGGCGAATGGAACAGCACTTGGCAAAATTTCCAAAAAAGAGGAAAACCTCTCGAGGTATACTCAAATTTTCGGAAATTTCCCAGAAGTTTTCTTTCCATTCAACTTTGTTCCCTGAATTTCTAGAATATTTGATTGAATGGTTCGCATTTTGGAAATTCAACAGTTTCCAGAACTTCTGGAAACTTTTCCGGAAAAGGCTGTACCATTTGCCGTTGTTTCCAAATTTTCGAAAGTTTTGGTTGATTAGATCGGAAAGCGTCCACTGTCTCCTTCACAGACTGAGCCTCCCGCCTGGTATCCCAAGTACCCCGCGCGCTTTCATTTTTCCTTCTCCCCAGCCTCCCTTCGACACAAAGAGGCCTCTGCAGAGGAGAGCGGCAAAACCATGAGCATTTAAATATATTGATTCCCATTTGAACTTTACATAGTGATCAAAATCATGGTGGTCCGGTTGAAAAGTAAATAATTTTATGGTAAGTCACCTCGGTATCGAGCTCTGAATCCAAAATCCGTTGATCCTGCGCTACTCGATGAAAACGTCAAATAAAGATTATTGGTAGTACTGAGGGCATAAGGTCCAGGCAAAATTTCTCCACTGAATCTGCCAATGAGATTCGATGAGGCCGACGTGCCATCGTACAGACTAAGGTAATCAGAGGCTCTGGTTTTGAAAATGGAGAAGACTAGTTCCAGTGTTGTATTTGATGATAAATGCCATTGGCAGTTGATATTGTTCGGGTATGTCGGTGCCAAACTTGACTGAATTATTCCACTCACGTTAGAAGTGTCGCTAACCAACAGGTTGGCACAGGAGCTTGACGCTGTAACTATTGGAACTGGAACTGTGAGAGTAACGACAAAAAAATTTAGGGGGAAGGTTCAAATCACCTGTAACTTAAGCCCTCAGTCGTGTAAAAGTGTCTTTTAAGCGTCGAGTGACATTATACATTTAGAGAGATTAACGGCCTGTTTACATGGAGGTGGGGGACCCCATGTAGGTGGGGGACCCCATGTAGGTGGGGTAACCCTTCTGTCCATATAATCTCTCATTTTAAGTTAATAGTTGGAGTGACCCGCCACAAAAACTAACAATTTCCTGGGACTAAAGATATTTCTGGTTTTGCGTGGCGCCATAAAGACGTTAGGACTTCAGACTGCCAAACAGTCGGTTTTTTTTTTCTCAAAATCAGTTTAGCGTTGACCGTTCGCTTGTTCTTCAAATTCTGACCTGCAACCTGCGACCTGCGACTTGCAACCTGCAACCTGCAGCCTACAAATTACACCCTTCGATTAAGTAATCTGACTCCGTGAAGTTTCAAACCGGTGTCATTTCGGTCTAGAAATTTTACAGTTGAGGTGACTTGAAGTCAAAAAGTGCGCGGTTAAGGCTTACATAACAACTTAAATAGCTAGCAAAACACTTCTTTTTTTCTCGGGAAGATAAATGACAGGATTTCGCATGGAACATATAGACAGCACTGAAACATTGAAACATACTACATATCAAGAGCCATGGCTCCTGTACATATATCATAATCACCTTCTGATCTACAAAAACCGGCCGTATTTATATGGTTCAAAGCCAAGAGCCCGCTGAAACTAGACCAAGACCCAGTTTTCCTGAGTCGAGAATTGTTTTTCTAAGGCACAAATCACCTAGTAAGCTTAACACCAGCCTGCGAAAACAGTCGTCTCCTCTCGCTCTTCGCCGCTGGGAACGTTTCGCGCGGAGGAACGTCTGCGTCTAAGCAGCAGAAATTCCATACTGATGACGTAAATCAATGTTTACTTAACTAGTAATAATTGCAAATTAGGGGAGTGCGTTCGATGGGGAAGGGGGGAGGGGGGTGGGTAATGAGTGGTAGCGGGTGCAAAACCTGATGGGCTTGTAACATCGAGAAATCAAAATCAAACGCTTTTATCAATATGAATGTCAGCAGCTGTCTTTATCGTTGTTATTGTTTATCCTCCCACTTTACAATTCGTTACTATTTCATTTTTCCTCAAAAATGCAAGAGCGTACTGTACTTTTTATATTTACTTAGCTAAACCTCTAAGTCAAGTACATGTAAGTAACAACAGGTCAAACACTGACTATGATCCTCAGGATATTCGTTTGCAGAGTAGGATGGTCAATAAAATTGACTAAAAATTGGGCTACAGAAAATTAAAGTTATCTGAAAAGTTTAAGCGTATCACTCTAAACCCTTGTTGCGTGACACTAGGTTAACACGACTCACCTACTTAGCACTGTTTTCAAAATACAACGCAACCGCAATTAGTGAGATGAAAAGGTCAACTTTCACTATTGAACTTCTTGTACATCTATATATTTCAAAAATGGTGACAAGCAAAAGCAAATACAACGCCGTAAATAGCTTTTAAGGTCGATCTAAGCTGATCTTGCTTGAATTCATAAAAACAAATACAGTGTGCAGAACACATTGTTAACATGACATCTACATATCCGATTATCTTAGAATGGAAATTGACCTATATAAAAAATAATACTAATTGAAAACTGCGAGAAAAACTATAAACAAACGTGTAGTAAACAAAAATCGCCAACGTTTCATCTGCGAAGGAGTGTCACACTGATAGATACCAGCTCCTGGGCGAGAAGAACTGAACACATGAGATCGAGGCAAAATGTGCCCGGCCGGTCCAAGATGGCGTCCAAACCGTGAAATCGCATGGCATATGGAACGGTTACTACATCATGTACGGTACACTAATAGTAAGCGTTCTCCTTCGTCGAATGCAATAAATCCGGTAGTCATGGGGTTCCAAATGCAAATTTGTTCAATTTTACGTTTCTTCTGGTCAATTTTGGTTGAGAGTTGTGTTCATCTGCGAACGAGCTCCAGCAAAACTCAAATGCTTTTTCTAGAGGAGACTATATTCCATAAATATTAACTGTTTTGTTAGAGATTCATGGTGTTTATATTTGACCTCTGTGGCCTTTTGCCTTTTGTCTGTCAGTCGTACACAATAGCTAAAATAATGTAACTACTCCGTCGACCAATCACCGCTTCTGACCGGATTCTGGACAGATTTTACGACACAGGTATGGAGTTTCTGTCGCAGACGTTCCTCCTAGCGAAACGTCCCCAGCGGCGAGGAGCTGGGGGAAACGGCTGTTTTCACAGGCTAGCTTAACACCGACGCCGTCGTTTTATGGCTTGTACAGAACATTTTATTCCAACAACTGCGATAGATCAACCACAAAACCACCTACCTGAGTTCTGCCTGTCAACATCATCCGGAAATAACACAACCACACTTTCGCAGCTCTGATAAGTCTATCCACAACCATGCATAATCTTTTCACGTTTAACACAAGCGAAATATCATCAATTAATTCGAAAAACCCGGCCTTTTGACAGATAAAAAACTCTAGACTTTTCTCTTACATTCGTCTTATTCAAGTTCCCGGATGTAAAGTCAACAGTGTGAAAGATGAGACTAGCATCATTCCAGGGCACAGTTGTTTGAAAGATGGATAGCGCTATCCACTTAGATAAATCTCTATCCAGTGGATGGCGCAATTGGTTTTCCTAATACTTATCCGCTGGATAGATTTTTATCCAGTAGATAGCGCTATCCAGCGTTTGAACAACCGCGGCCAGAAGTCTTGACTTGGATCAAAGTTCACCTGCAATTTTGCTCTCGCCTAATAGATTTGACGCCTAGAACCCTGTTCCCGAGGGCAAAGACTTAGTGGTGACCTTAAAAAGGCCATCACTTTTGATTATGCAAACCTATGTTAGGTTTGCATAACTGTCGAGATTCTCTGTGATGTTCTGGTAATATATTCCTGAATTTTACGTTTAGTTTCCATAATATACTAAAAGTATTTGGAGACATATATTATTACAAAAAATTGAGCCTCTCTATGTGAACCTGTGGTCGCCGTTTTTGTCGCGCGCTTACCAACAAATTTAAACCGTCGATTTTTTCAAGGAAATCGTCGCATATCAAGAATTGCTTTGCGTGGCAATGCTGCCAGCGAGCTCGAGCAACCACGACAGCGACAAAAAAAAAAAAAAACGAGAAAATAAGAAAAAGCAAAGAGGTTTGTAATGGACTACAATAGGTTTACCGAGTACCTCTAAAGAGATTGTCGTTTAGCGAACATGAGTGACCGGGTTGAACTCCTTTCCCTATTATTGGATTAAGCTTCAAAACATATCTATAAAATGTATTTTAATTTATTTTCCCATGTTACCTCGGCATGTTTTTCCATCTCCAATAAAACCAAGCTGACACGAGCAAAGGTAAGAGCCATTATTGTTTTGGCAGTCGGCATTCAGATCACAGATGGAGGGAACAATGCTACATTCATCGATATCTGTGAATAAATTAAGATCAAACTGGAGTGCGATCGATGTCCAATGGGGTGTCTCCTTTATAAATAATAGGTTGCTCGCAGGAAACTTCAAGTCACTACTAAAAGACGATTTCCTCGGATAGACCTTTTCTTATATACGATGGTCTCACTAAACCTCCAGCTTGAATTGTAGCGTACGAAATCAACCGTCTTAAGACAATCGCAATTTGTAGGCTTGATTTAGAAGCTACGATTCGTTTCGTAAACTTTTCATAAGCACATGTCATGCAACAAAGTAATGTACCGTGTGCCAGAATCTCATCTTAACCCTATTCAAAACGGGCTTTTATTGCTTCCTGTGACCGGGGGCCCTCGGAGCCCCCCGATGCTAAAATTATGCACAATAATGTACTCATCATTTCCAACTTCTGGCATAACTTGATTGACACAATGACGTAATCTGGCGTCATTATGACGTCATATTGATAAATTTATTGGAAGAACCCAAATTTCACTCAAAGTAGACATAAAGCGAAAAATACTTGAATAGAAAGGTCTCTGATAAAATCAAGGAAGTTGACCAACACAAAAATGAAAGGGGGATCCCTCCCGGGGTGGTACGAGGGTTACGACTTACACGGTACTCCCTGTTTTACCACTCGTGTCTTGTGTCTTCAACGAAAACACCCAGATTCTGGCTTGTTTTCATTGTTAAACGGAATAGACAACATATGGGAATGATGATTGTGTGTTTAAGGGAGCTGGGGGGTGGGGAGGGAAGGTCCGACTTATGTAGGCTTCTGCTGGGAAAACTCGAAAACCCTTTTTTCCAAGTCACCTGTGTCACTGACTGAAGGAAAAGTATATATTATTTTCATGTATCCCCCAGGCTTAGATTCACCCTCACGTTTATATTATCGCCAGCATGCCATCTATCGACACTCTGAACACGTGAGACAAAGCGGTCTATCGGCAAGTGTGTCGGTGTGTGGTTGAGACTAAGCGTCCTGTAGCTCGAGCCCAGGCCCTATTCCTAACACCTTCAACTTCCCTCGCACCTGCACTTGCGTAAACCTTGCGTCATATGAACCTAGCTCATTCTTCCATAAGTGTAGATCCCTTGTAGCTAACTGGTAGAGCACAAGGCCTAAGAATGGTAACCAGAAGGAAACAAGACAGAACAATCCATAGTTATTAAGCATAGTTTTCTTATCTTACCCTGGCATTTTTTGCCATCTCCAGTAAAACCAGCTTGGCACGAACAAAGATATGAGCCTTCATTGTTCTGACAGTTGGCGTTTTGATCACAAATGAAGGGAACGGCGCTGCACTCATCAATGTCTGTTTAAGGAGAACAAGACTAGTCATAGGGAGTTAAAGCAGCGACGTTTTGGAGCGAAGCACGTCAACCGGATGTGAGTTTTTTTCTCTTTTAATATACCTTGACGTTACCAAATTTTATCGCTAAGTGTCTTTACTCTTATAGACGCTCAAAAACGTCGTTTTTTAAGCTCTCAAACTCCCAATTTTTCCAAATTAACTTAATAAACAAATAAATAAAAAAAGAAACACTCTAGAAGTAAAGTTAACTATGAATTTAGAAGATGGGAATCATATGTTGTAAATGAAAGACATAAGAAATTAGATTCCTGTCTTTTCCTAATAATTGTATTCGAAGTGCCTACGTGTTTTAAGTACACTGAAGCTTCAAAGGCCTGCGTGAGGCAAAATCAATTTAAATGTCTTTTCGAAAGAAGACTAATCCACATCATCTTAGGCTATGTGGTCAAGAACGTGAAGTTTGGTCATGCACGAGACAAGTCATGTCATCAGATCAGTATAGACTGATTTAAACAAGTAACTTGAGTGAAACAGTGGCGTTATAAAATACCGAACGTCTGTGCCAAATCATGTCGAGATTAACTTTCACTTTTTCCTGCCAAATTTACACCTATAAACCACAGAGGGAACATTTCACATTACCATGGATCGTCTGCTTATTGAGAAATAGCAGTCGGCTCTACAACTCACAAACCTTGGCACGTTTTCCCATCACCAGAGAACCCATTCTTGCACCTGCAGGCATAGGACCCATTGGTATTGGTACATTGGGCATTGACGTCACAGACAGGCGGGGAAGAGGTGCACTCATCAACATCTGAATAAACAACAAGAGCATTAATGTAGCGCATTCTGATTGGCCAATGAGGCATTTATAACTTGTCAGGGTTATCGGTTTGTATTTTACAATGGCGCTGAAAATCACTGGAAATAAATAATGGGGACGCTTTGTAAAGTTATTAAATGGCATTTATTCCCTTTCAAATTGAAAGTAAAACATTCTGATATGATTGGCTGAAGAGCTCGTTAGTGGAGAAAAGAGGGGTCTTACCCCCAAAATGCTCACCCAGATTGAGAAAATGCGCTTGTAACGGATATTTGTATATTTTTCATAGAATAATACAAAGCTGAATTGTTCTCGATTAGAATGTAAATTATACTCTGTTCGGCCAGGAGACGATAAATCGGCTCCTGTTTCGGTAGGGTTTTAGACGACGCAATAGAGAGGTTTACGTGGTACGTAAGTACTCATTAGGAAAAGTTCGACTGTACTTACCTCCAGTGTTCATGTCACAATAAGCCAGAACAGGGATACCAGGCTTTATGGTGCCTAGCCAGTATTTTTTGCTCACCGCTTGTTCTTCACTCGATTTAATTTCTTTACACGTTTTCGCTGGAAGCTCAGAAATAGAACCGAGAGGTGCTACAATGAAAAGGTGACATAATAAATCTATTTAATGACTAGTCCTGACAGTAATTTTGTTTCCCGAGAATCTCAGTGTTCGCTGAGGGAAACATTGAGAAGCGAGGGAAACAAAAGTAACTGTTTCCCAAGGGGCCAAGGGGTGATTTGTTAAGCTTTGCTATATAGCTGGAAATTTTGAAGCTGGAAATTCATTAATCCTCGATGTAACTGCAGTCGTCAACGGTCCGCATGGGCGGGTAACAGTCCACTCTTACCCTCTGAGGTCATAGATTTTGCAACGTTGCCGCTCAGAGATTTTGGCGGGAAACAGTTGCATTGTTAGATGTCATGTGACCTTGAAGTAGCCAATGACAGCGCGCGCTTTTGGGAGAAAAGGTCCAGCTATATAACAATGATTGTCATTTTCATAAACGATTCCCACAATCATGCAAACAAACACACCAACTTGAGTCCTAGAGTGAAAAAAATACAACGATCTGAATTCGTGTAATCACTGATGCGAAACGGATAAGATATCCTAAGATTTTTTCTTCGTTTTCAAAAAAAAAAAAAACACGGCAATACTTAGCGTAGATGAATCGTTTGTGTCGGTCCACACGAAAACGCTAAAACGATGGAAATACGATTAGTATCCCTATCAGAGAATGCTTGGAGCTAGGGGTATAATATGATCATTTTATGCGAAAATCTTCGCTTTTTGCCCGTCCGCACGTAAACGAGAAGCCGGCGTATTCAAAAGTCTCCATTCTGGGGGCCTTTTTTGAAACGTTATTGTCTTCTAATGCATGTACCAGGAAGACTCGTTTGTGGATCACTTGCGCGGGTATTCTACATTAGTATACAAAACATAAATACGGTAATTGTATAATGACATGGCACTTTTTTTCTGACTGTAGGGCTTCGTTTTCCTACATCAACGTGCGAGTTCAGTTTACCTCGATTCATGCCTCGTTTGTAGTAAAATCTGTCTGGATCGGGAACAAAATCCTCCGGTCTGGCTTCTTTGGTTCTATCACTGAATTCGCACATGTTGGTAGAGATAACCCAATTGAAACTTTGGCATCTCTTGTCTTGACGACAGATTAGTACGCATTCAAACCCGAAATTAGCCATCGTTGTCCTGTATACATGTCCTTGCAGTTTCCAGCCGAAGATGGATGACTCGGATCCACCTTTAGTGCATTGTTGAGCTAGCACTCTGTTGAATATAAAACTAAGACGAAACAGCAATGTGATGTAGACGGTAAGTTTTGCTGCCATTGTTTTGGTCGATGATCTGACTCACAGATCTGAAAAGAAAAACAATTCGTCTAAATAATTACAAAAAATGGAATTTAATACAAACGGAGTCAATGAAGTCACCTGGGCTCTGGATCTTAAGAGGCTGAAGTTTCGATAGCCAGCCTCTCGTCTGACTCAGAGCAAATCTAGCTCACCAAAAACAAACAAAAAAAAAACCAGCATTATTAAAAGCTTTTGTTGTTGTTATTGTTGTTGTTGGTAAAATGTCTCTAGTATTAAGTTCCTGTATCAACCTGAGTTAATAAAACCAAAGCCGAAGCTGCATTTATCTTTTCGCCGTTAGAGAAGATTGTTTTTGTTCAAAATGCTTGCGCACTACTGTAATATAATGATCGCGAGACAGCGGGCTTGAACCAATATCAGCCGAAAATTCTTGTTAGTAGTATGCAAGTTGTTTTCTCGTGATATTGACCTTGCGTTGTTCACTAAATTTGTTACAGTAAAAACCCGTGAGTAAGAACCTGTTAGGCTAAAATTTGTCAGTTACGCACCCTCTATAACAGAACCTATTTAGCCTAAAATTTGAAACAGGTTTTTTTTTTTTCAAAAATCCTTAAAGAAATTGTGTACACTTGGGCAACAGGACCTCAAAATTCATGTGATCAGCGCTTCAGAACCCATCAGTTCATCTTCTTATGGTCGTTTTATGCATAAACACTAATTTTGTATACACGAGATGTTATAAGGAAAAAGCTGAATAGAACTTAATACTCTTAGCTTCCATGTATTTTTTCTTCAGAAAATAAGAACCTTTGTTAGTAAATAAGCCGATATTAGAACCTAAACAGCCTATATTTATGCTAATCGTCATTTATATGTAAGAACCTGTTTAGGCTAACATGGGAAAATGCAGACCCCTGTATTTATCTTTTAGTCCCATATAAAACTACTCGGTCTAGTGGTAGACTAAAGAAAATTGATAACCAAGGCAAATGAATTCCGCGCCTTGAAAACGTGTTGTCTGTCAAGTTTCTATTGCAGGCAGCTTGTTACTGGCGCAATCTTGGTGGTACCTGTATTGAATACATAGTGACTACGTTAGCCAATATTACTGAAAGATTGCAGAATTCTTGATAGTATACGAGTCGGTTTCTGCATATTTACTTCCCGTAGCTCCCTGCACTCTTTATTCCACTTTTAGTCTCATAAAACTACTAGGTCTTGTGCTAAACAAGGAAATGTGGATTACTAAGACAATAAGTGTCCCGCCTCTTGAATTAAAGGTGGCTCCGTCAGGTTTCTACTACAAACAGCTTGCTACTTACGAAATGGAACCTGTAATGCATTGTGACTACGTTAGCCAATATCACTGACATGCAGATTGCTGAATTCTTGCTAGTATGCAAGTCGGTTGTTACTAATTAACAATTATTCCTCGAGTCCGAATGGGCTCTGAGTCAATAGCCCATGAGGCCTTTGTTTTAGTAATATAAAATCCAACTAGTTGGTAAAAAATATCGAGAAAAAAAAATTAGCTGGTTAAAGCTAGACTTTAATCATTTTTTTTGCCGTCAAAAAGCGCCCACTTTTCGCCACTAGTAGGCTATAACATATAGCCTAGTAGTAGCTCAACCAATTAGAACGCAGCATTGATAATAGACCACTAGTTGGATTATGTTAATGATATTTACTTCTCGCAGCTCACTGAATTCGTTTTTCCACTGTTAGTCTAGTATAATAAAACCACTAAGTCTAGTGTTAAACTAGGGAATATTGTGGATTACTCAGCCAGGGTAGTGTTCTGCCCCTTGATTCAAGGTGGCTCCGTTTTTATTACAGCCCCAGTTATTGAATGACTCAAACTTTTTCTCGTCCACGTTAGTTTCGATGTATTTGATAACGCAAGCCTGGAAAAATTCAGGCTTGCCGGGATTTGAACCCTGGACCAGTGTTTTATAGGTCAGGGTTCGATAAGCCTGAACTTTTTCAGGATTTCTTTTCGCAAATGCACAAGTTGCGTCTTTCACTGCGATGACCTTCTTTCCATTTTGTTTATTTATTCCGTGGTTCAAGTATGAAATTGAGACACTTATTAATATATTCTTCATCTCGCAATTCTTTTTTCGATCAAAAACGGCCTAAGACCCTGTCCGCACTACGTCGTATTTAAAAAAGAATTGAAAACGTAACATTGTTCTTATGCTTTAAAAGGTGAGCCTTTCACGTTGATATTTATATGGACGAAAAATGACACTTTACCTAAACGTCCTTCAAAGTGGATTACAGGTAATCTGAATAACACCATCCTACAGCAGCTCCGCGAGAAGATGAGCTCAGAAGCACTGAGAGCAAACGACCTGGCAGAGATCAAGGGTGCCTTGAGTGGGTTAACAACATTGCCACTGAAGTCTGAAAACTTCGACCCGAACAAAAGGGAATTCTACGATGCGCTCAGCCTTAGGTACCGCTGGACACCGAAGCACCTCCCATCTACATGTCCTTGCGGCAAGAGATTCGACGTTGATCTTGCAGTGTCATGTATGAAAGGCCTGGATTGAAACAATACAACGATCTGAATTCGTGTAATCACTCATGTGAAATGCGAGAAAAGGCTGCTCCTCACAACATGTAGTGCTTAGAGATCCTGCCCAAACGAATCCGGATAAGATATCCTGAGATTTTTTCTTCGTTTTCGAAACAAAAACAAGCAAAAAAACACCTCCCATCTACATGTCCTTACGGCAAGAGATTCGTCGTTGATCTTGCAGTGTCATGTATGAAGGGCGGATTTGTCCATAGGAGGCATGACGAAGTGCACGACCTGTTCACAACCCTTCTCAAGGACGTATGCCATGATGTTGAGGTCGAGCCACACCTTCAGACCTTGACAGCCGAGAAGTTTAACCAGCAAGTGCCAACTCCTCTGATGAAGCTCGTTTGGATATCAGTGCACACGATTTTTGGAAAAGGAGGCAACGTGCATT